TTGACAAACTCTTTGACGCGGTGAACTGTCCGGAAGAGCAAAAAGTTGACATTGCTGTTTATTACTTACAGAAAGAGGGTGATAACTGGTGGGTCTCATCAGGCCCAGCTCTACGTCAACAACCCAATTTCAATTGGGAAGCTTTCAAGATTGCCATGAGGAAACGTTTTTATCCTCCTCACGTCCAGGCCACCATGCATGAGGAATTCATACATTTGAAACAACTGGACATGAGTGTCCAGGAATATCACACTAAATTCCTGGACCTCGCGCCATTTGCAAAGACAATAGTGCCTGATGAGAGCACCAAAGTCGAGAAGTTTATTCGTGGATTAAACTTTGATACACAAAAAACCGTCGCTGTTTTGGGTTACCAAACTCTGACGGATGCCTATGATAGAGCTGCAGTTCACTATCGTGTTCAACAATTACAAAGAGAGAGAAACCAGAAAATGAAGAGGTACGGAGATGAGGAGAGAGGTCGGGGAGAAAAGAGGTTTAGGGTGAACCCACCTACACAACAACAAGAACGGAGGGAGAGGAGAGATGACCAAAGCGGAAGAAATTTACGTGGTCAGAACCAGCAAAACGATCGGAGAGCTGCTCCTAGAGATAGGCACTTCTACTGCAAGAAGTGCGGGAGAGATCACCCTGCGGTTAACTGCGATGGGAGCCTAACCAAATGTTTCAATTGCGGGAAGCTAGGGCACCGATCCTTCGAGTGTTTGTCAAAGACCAATGGGGCACCATTAAACCAGGTGCAATATCATGATGGAAACCGAACCGGGCCTAATGGCGGGCAAAACAACAACAATGCTGTCACCATCAACAACAACCGCAACCCTCGAGGAGGAGGGGAGAATAATCGCGGTCACGGTAATGGAGGTAACCAAGGAAATGGCGGGAACAATGGCAATGGCGGAAATAACGGCAACCGTCCGAACCAAGGGCGAATCATGGTAATGAACCAAGCCCAAGCCAATGCCAATGATGTGGTCTCAGGTACATTCCTTGTAAATTCTGAGCCTGCTTATGTTCTATTTGATTGTGGTGCTTCTCACAGTTTCATATCTTCTAATTTCGTTAAGAGATTAAAGATTGAACCAACAGCTAGAATAGACTTGAATGTAAGAATTGCCTCAGATAAATTTGTAACTTGTGGAAATGTATACTCCAACATTTCCGTACTCATATGTGAGTCCAACCTACCTGGAGACTTAATCCAAATTGACTTAGAAGATATAGACGTAGTACTGGGCATGGACTGGTTGGGGAAGTACAAAGCTAGGATCCTATGTGATGAACAGAAGGTGATCTTGAAGGGTCCAAATGGGAAAAGAATATCTTACAAAGCAATCACAACCAAGCCCAGTATGAAGCTGATGACTATGCGACAATTACGACAACATATTCGAAAGGGGTATGAAACCTACTTGTGTTTGATGAAAGAGGTGAATATAGAAGAGCCAAACATTGACCAAATTGCTGTAGTCAACGAATTTTCGGATGTATTTCCGAAAGAGATTCCAGGAATGCCGCCCGAGAGAGAAGTTGAATTCTCAATTGAGTTGATGCCCGGAACTGCACCAATTTCAAAAGCACCTTACCGGATGGCACCAAAAGAAATGCAAGAGCTGAAGGAGCAACTGGAGGAGCTATTAGAGAAGGGTTACATAAGGCCGAGTGTCTCACCTTGGGGCGCTCCTGTCTTATTTGTCAAAAAGAAAGATGGGAGTCTAAGGCTATGTATCGATTACCGGGAGTTGAATCAAGCAACTATCAAGAACAAATATCCATTACCCCGGATTGACGACTTGTTTGATCAATTAAAAGGGGCTAGCACGTTCTCTAAGATAGACTTGCGCTCTGGCTACCATCAAGTGAGAATAGCCGAGAAAGATGTACCAAAGACAACATTCCGCACGAGGTATGGACTTTACGAGTTCACTGTGATGCTGTTTGGTTTAACTAATGCACCCGCGGTATTCATGGATCTAATGAACCGTGTATTCCGACCTTACCTTGATACCTTTGTAGTGGTATTCATTGATGATATCCTCGTATATTCAAAAACCCCGGAGGATCACGAGAAACACTTGAGACTCACATTGCAAACTTTGAGAGCGAACCAGTTGTATGCCAAACTCTCAAAGTGCGACTTCTGGCAGGATCGGGTAGTGTTCTTGGGTCACATTATCACCCAAGAGGGCGTATCCGTAGATCCATCCAAGATTAAGGCGGTGATTGAGTGGTGTGCACCTACCTCGGTCACGGATGTAAGAAGTTTCTTGGGTTTAGCCGGTTACTATCGGAGATTTGTTAAAGATTTCTCCAAGATAGCAAGACCGTTAACCAACCTGACGAAGAAGACAACCAAGTTCTATTGGGATGAAGATTGTGACGCGACATTTCAAGAGTTGAAGAAAAGACTCACAACCGCGCCGGTCTTGACATTACCGTCAGGGACGGAGGGGTTCGATATCTATAGCGATGCATCTAAGAAGGGGTTGGGGTGTGTGCTTATGCAGAATAGGAAAGTGGTGGCTTATGCATCAAAACAATTGAAGGTGCATGAAGTTAACTATCCTACTCATGACTTGGAGTTAGCTGCAGTAGTGTTTGCACTGAAAATCTGGAGACATTACCTATACGGAGCACAATGTAAGATATACACTGACCACAAAAGCTTGAAGTACATATTCACTCAAAAAGAGCTTAACATGAGGCAAAGAAGATGGCTCGAACTTCTAAGTGATTACGACCTGGAAATCCAATACCACGAGGGAAAAGCTAATGTGGTGGCGGATGCTCTGAGCCGGAAATTTGAGCACTCATGCCGAGCAACATGGATATTACCAGAAGAACTGTTCCGAGACTTTCAAAGATTGAACTTGGAAGTAAAACAATATGGCGAAGTAGATAGTGAAATACAGTTATGTACTATGACCGTTACACCATCTATCTTCGAGGAGATCAAGAATGGGCAACCGGGAAATGTGAAGCTCGAGAGAATCAAGGAAAGAATGAAAGATGGGGTCAATGGACCATTCAGGACACATGAAGATGGGAGCATCCGATACAAGGGAAGGTGGTGTGTTCCTCTGAAGTGTGCAGATATTAAAAGACAAATCATGGAGGAGGGACACAACACTCCATACTCAGTACATCCCGGGGGAGACAAACTATACAAAGACCTCAAAAAGAACTTTTGGTGGCCGGGAATGAAGAGAGAAGTAGCTGAATTCGTATCCCGATGTTTGAATTGCCAAAAAGTCAAAGCGGAGAGATGTAAACCCAAGGGACTTGTGCAACCCTTGGAAGTACCTAAATGGAAGTGAGATTCCATCCCGATGGATTTTGTTGGAGGGTTACCCTTAACTAAATCGGGAAGAGATAAGATTTGGGTAATCGTTGACCGATTAACCAAAACTGCAAGATTTATTCCCATGAATGAAACTTGGAGCATGAACAAGCTCGCCAAAGCCTATGTCAAATACGTGGTCAAACACCACGGAGTACCTCAAGACATCATATCGGATCGAGATTCACGATTCTTATCTCAATTCTGGAAGGAATTACAAACGGCTATGGGGACAAAATTGAAGTTAAGTACTGCTTTTCATCCAACCACGGATGGGCAGACCGAAAGAACAATCCAAACGTTAGAAGACATGTTGAGGGCATGTGTTCTTGATTTGCAAGGATCATGGGATGAGCACCTAGACTTAATAAAGTTTTCGTACAATAACAGTTACCATGCTAGCATCGGAATGGCCCCGTACGAAGCTCTATACGGTCAAAAGTGTAGAAGTCCCTTATGTTGGGGTGAAAGAAGTCCAGATTCTCACCGGCCAGCTAGCAGCCCTTGGACGCTTCATGTCCAAGTCCGCCGAGAAGTCCCTACCCTTCTTCCAGGTCCTAAAGAAACAAAATGGTTTCGTCTGGAATGATGAGTGTCAGCGAGCCTTCGACGACCTGAAGAAGTACCTCCTCTCTGAGCCTTTATTCAGCAAGCCGGAGAGGGGAGAGACGTTAATTGTGATACCTTGAAAATTTGAAATAAAAATAAATAAATAAATAAATCAGATAAGTTATATGTGATAAATCAAATGAAAGTAATATAAAAATATTTTGTATTATACTTGGTGTATAAAAATATATGCATGCTACATGCAATAAAATTAAACACTTATGTGGCATCGAAAAAATAAAATAAAAAATAAAATAGAAAAAAAAATCAGATAAAATATAGATGAGGGAATATATAAATAAATAAATAAATAAATAAATAAATAAAAATAGTAAGAATATTAAAAATTACTAATAATAGCATCAAATTAATAAATGAAAATATCATATCATAAAACAATGACACATGCTAGGATCACCTACCAAATAATGTATATACATTATATACATATTTTTACATATATAATTATATATATTTATATGTAAAAATTAAAATAAAAGAAAATAAAATAAAATAAAATTAAACATCAGCATAAATGGGAATCAAATCATGAATCAATACACATGCTATGTTCATCAACTACCAACCTATCATATACATTATTATTATTATTATTATTATTATTATTATTATTATTATTATTATTATTATTATTATTATTATTATTATTATTATTATTATTATTATTATTATTATTATTATTATTATTATTATTATTATTATTATTATTATTATTATTATTATTATTATTATTATTATTATTATTATTATTATTATTATTATTATTATTATTATTATTATTATTATTATTATTATTATTATTATTATTATTATTATTATTATTATTAGTATTATTATTATTCTTATTATTATTATTCTTATTATTATTATTATTATTAATATTATTATTATTATTATTATTATTATTATCATTATTATTATTATTATTCATACAATTATCAAATAAATAAAATAAACCATAAGGACCATCTAGACCTATAAATACACCCTCTTAGCCATCCCAAACACTGCAAATCGGAGAGATAGAAGCGTATATATATACATATACATATATATACATAATCTCGCCGGAAAATTTATACGTATCAAACTTCGTAAAAACGATAGAGGAGGGTCGTGAGAGGTCTAGGAATACTCCCCAATAAATTCCAGACCGATTCGTAGTCACCGGAGCATCCTAGAGCTCGCCGGAGTTACAAGTCGTGGAAGCGGGTCTTCAGAAAAAGCGGATATTTTGCCGTAGATAGGGGTGGCGGAGCTTCGTCTTGCCGTCAGGATCATTTTGCAACTTGAATCATTGAAATCCGTTACCTGTAAGTCAAGTTATAGCTCGCCGAAGTTTTTGTAAATCCGGTCGCCGGAAACCCGACCTGGAGAAGAGCTGGGAAGAAGACAACCCAGTCTTCTTGGGCCGGGTCGTGTATTTGGGCCGGTTCGGCCCAGTTTCAATAAAAATTAAAAATAAAATAGTAAATGAAATAAATAAATTCTGGAAAAATATAAATTAAATACCTAGTATAAATATACATATTCGGACCAACCAGAATTGAAAGATAATATTTTTAGCTATTTGTAATTGATTTAATTGTAATTGGGCCAATTTGTACATATTTAGTAAATAATTAACTAAATGACGAAATAAATTACGAAATAATTATTGGAGTAAACTAGATTAAATATATGACTAACTAGGACATTTGGGACCATTTGTAACTAATAAAAATTATGATTAGTATATTTAATTGTAATTAAACCGGTTAATAGAGATATGGAATTAAATGAATAAATAAGGGAAATAATTCTTAAATAAATATCTGGACAACCTAGGTCAAATATAGACACCAAATATAGTTATGAACTATTATAAATTGATAAAGTCGATTATTAAGCTATTTAATTTAATTGGGCCATATAAAACTAGTTAAGTAATTAAATAAGAAAATTGATTAATAATGGTGAAATAAATAAAATCACTAAGATGTGAAATAATATTATGGACTAAAAATGAGGTTTGGAATAAAATAAAGAAAAGAAAATAAAGTTGGGATAGCTAGTATAAATGTATGACTATATTTGGACTTAATAAATAAATCTTTTAATTAGTGGACTAATTAAATTAGTGTGATTAAATTAATAATTATCATCCTTAATTGTTACTTTTTGGACTCCATATAAATTATTAAACTATATGAACTCATAAAAATTAGTTGATTAATACAAACTAATTAATTAAGTAATATGTACTTGATAATTTAGTTAATCGACTCAATTGGACTAGTTTAACTAAATCAATTAGTTTAATGGATAAATTAATTAAATTATGGACGTATTAATATTTTTGGACTTTATATGAAAAATATAAAATTAAAACGAAATTAGAATTTGATTGATTGCCTTAATTGAATTAGATTAATGTAGTTAACTATATTTATATAATTAAACTTATTTAGTTGATGAAATTAATTAAATTAATTTAGTTAGCCAAATAAATAAACTGGAGGATTGAATTAGTTATGGTAATTGGATTAGTTAGTATAAATAATCTATTAAACTAATTAAAGTTATTATTGAAAATAGATTATCATTAATGATTAATATTTCGAATTATTGCTTACGGAAAATTATTATTCAAAGGTTTATTAAATAAATTATATAAATTATATAAACTGAAATTGAACTGAAATTGATTATTTAAATTCGAAATATTGAAACTATTATGTAATTAATTTAATTAGACTAGTTAACTAATTAACCAAATAAGTTAAAGTAAATTATGTAGGGGATTAGTATGATTAAAGAAAATAATAAGGTTGGATTGAAAATTAACAATTAAATAAGATTTATGAATCTAACGTAAAAGTTATATTTAAATAAAGAATTATGAAATTAAAATAATTAAAATAATTAAAGGTTGGATAGATAGGAAATAACACAAATAATAGAATAAGTATTGATTTAGAATTTTGATATATATATTAGAAGGTGAATTCAAGTGAAGGCCAAGCTAGAGATTTTATTAAGGGGATTATCGCAATTCAAGGTAAGTTCTATGTCAACCAAAAATGTTTTATCTCGTATTTATATGTATGCAATATTTGAACTATGTGGACTATTTATGAATCGGAAACTATTTTTTGACATGGAATGAATATTTTGAATGTATGGATATTGGTGGATTATTATCTATTATGGATTATTAAATGTATATTCTTTTTATTAAAGAATATTGGTGGATTGATATTTATTACAAAGTATATTTTTGGAAAGTGTGACAAGAATGACTTTGGGAAAAACTTAAAGTTTTTCATAATATATTTTTACGTCTCGAGAGAAACACGAGGCGTGGGTGATTAGGACTACTACTACTTTTGGTGAAATTTATTTGGGTTGGTAACCAGTCCGGCAATGACATGCTCCGGTAGACATCCCGGGCTTTTATTTGAGGACCAAAGGTCCTTTGGTGGTTGTAGTAGTAGTTACCTAATTTATCCCTGGACAATGTCCCTTGTGAGTAGGTGGTAGAAAACATTCTGCCTACTTGGATTTCTTACTACTCGGAGGGCTTGGAATCCCTTTTAGAGGGTGTGCACACTTAAGGTAGAAATTCAGCTTCCAAATTGGTGGTCGGTGGGAGCCGGAATTCCGGGATGAGTCGTAAATAACAACGACTCGTTGGGCTCGAGGAATCTTGAGTTCCGCCCACTCTTAAAAGAAATCTATAGTATTAATTTTGGAGGAATTGAGGAATGACATTATCTAATGAAGAAATTATTTTGAGACATGAAGTTATTTTGGAGATATGAGAGGGTATTTTCTATATATATACCTATACCAAACCTATTTTCCAAATTATATTATTTTACGGGTTCGGGTGGAATCTTACTTAGCTCTAAAGCTAATTTTTGTCTCTTCTGTCTTCTTCTCTTTGCTCTATTGTACAGATGATTATGATTATTAAGATTGATGTACTTGCTGCCCGAGTGTTCCGCTAGTTGCACACGTTTGATTAATTATCGTTGTTTAAACTTGTAATTCATAAACTTTGTCCTAAGACCCATTTCATTGTTATTTGAACTTATGGTGGATAGCCTGTGCACTCAATCATGTATAGGTTGAGTGTGGCGGTGACGCACCTGTTTTTCCCTTAAAGACTTCCGCTGTATTCTAAATATGTTTAATAATAAAGATGTTTTCATTTAAAAATGTGATTTTATTTGGGTGGGAAAAATGGGGGTGTTACATTAATCCTTTATCTTGGGGTTTCCCAAGGTGCAATCAGTTCCGTGCTGGTTCGCGAGGAGGAAGGCGTTCAGCGCCCCGTCTACTATGTGAGTAAGACCCTCCAGAATGCTGAGCTCCGGTACACCCCGCTCGAGAAGACAATATATGCCGCCTACATCACCGCCAAGAAGTTGACACACTACTTCCAAGCGCACCCCATCAGAATCCTGTCGGACCAACCCCTAGGTGCCGCTCTGAGGGCGCTCGACACAACCTGGGTAGTGAAGTGGTCGATGCTCCTCAACCAATATGAGGTTGACTTCCAACCTCAGACGTCCATCAAAGGCCAGGCTCTGGCTGATTTCATTGTGGAATGCACGGCCCGAGAAGTGGCAGATAGGCAACAAGAGAGCAATGAACAATGGTGGACTCTAGCGACTGATGGGTCGGCAGGAGCCAAGGGATGCGGGGGCGGAATTGTCCTCATCTCACCCGAGGGATTCCGAGCCTACTATGCCTACCGCTATCTTTTCAAAGTCTCCAACAATGAGGTGGAGTACGAGGCCCTACTATATGGGCTACGATTGGCAGCCGCCATGGGAGCAGAGTGGATAACGGTGAAATGTGACTCCCGCCTGGTGGTTTCCTTGGTCAAAGGTGAGTTCGAAGCGCAGGAAGAAAGAATGATGAAGTATCGAGATGCTGTTCGGGAGTTGCTCGGGTTGTTCAAGCAAGCATAGTTGATCTGCATCCCGAGAAATCAAAACTCCGATGCAGACCTCCTCTCAAAGCTATCCCAAGGGTTAGCTGAACATATATCGAGAATTGCACGCATTGAGGAGATGACGACCTCAAGCATATCAGCCTCCCCGTCCATTGACGTCCTTCCCCTGCAACCAGTCGCCTGGTGTTGGGTGGATGACCTCCTGCGCTACATAGCCGACGGGACGCTCCCCGATAAAGAAGAGGAGGCAAGGTTAGTCCAGCAACGAGCTCCGGGCTACGTCGTCTTGGATGAGAAGCTGTACAAGAGGTCCTACAATGGGACCTTGCTAAAGTGTTTACGCCCACATGAGGCGGAAATGATCGTCTCTGAACTCCATGGGGGCGTATGCTCCGCCCATCAGGGGGCAGGCACGTTAGCTAGGAAGGTCGTCCTCCAGGGGTACTTTTGGCCAACAATAATGAAGGATTGCGCTGACTATGCAAGGAAATGCGAGACATGCCAGAAGTTCCAGAAGAGCCCCGGCCGACCAGCAACGATGTACACACCGATCAGCACCGCCCTTCCATTCACAAGATGGGATGTCGACCTGGTCGGTCCCTTACCAACCGGGTCGGGAAACCGGAAGTTTGTCATCATCGTGGTGGACTGCTTTACGAAGTGGGTTGAGGCCGAGCCGCTTGCCAGCATCACACATCTCCAATGTAAGAAGTTCATATGAAAGAATATTTTCTGCCGGTTTGGGGTTCCCCTCCAAATAATCTCCGACAACGGAAGGCAGTTTGACTGCGAAGCCTTCCGGCAATTCTGTGCAGAGTGGGGCGTAGAATCCAACCGAGTTGCGGTCTGCTACCCCCAGGCAAATGGACAGGTGGAGAACACCAACCGGACGATCGTCGATGGACTGCAAAAGAAGTTGGAGGCCCTCGGGACTGCCTGGGTGGAGGAGTTGAATAATATACTCTGGACCTTCAGAACAACCCCAAGGAAGGCAACATGAGAAACCCCCTTTGCCTTGTGTTATGGCTTTGAGGCAAGGGCACCGTTCGAGGCCGTAGTTCCCAGCCGGCGAGTGGAAGAATTTGAACCAGCCAGCAATGAGGAGAGGCTCCGAGCCGAGCTCCCTCTAATTGAGGAAAGAAGAGACCGTGCCTTCATCAAAGCGGAAAACTATCGACGACAGGTCAAGGCGTACCAAGACAGCCGAGCCTGACCCCGGAGATTTGACGTCAGTGATTATGTCCTAAGACGTAGGAAGGCCAGCAGGCCGACAGAGGGAGGTAAGCTCTCCGTCAAGTGGGAAGGCCCTTACGTGGTTGACGCAGTGATCGGCCCTGGGACATACAAGTTGAAGACAACAACAGGCCGGTTGGTAGACCACGTCTGGAATGCCGAGCACCTGATGAAGTTTTACCAGTAGAAAATCGAAGTTTCACTTTTCTTTGTAAACTCCTGTGCTCCGAGCACGGGATTACAATTTGTAATTCTTCATGTGGTCCGCCCACATCATGAATTCAATATACTTTGCTAGCGATATTTTGTCATCAAAATAGGTCCGACCTCACTTAGCAATAAAGGGCGGCGGCGGCAAAAAAAAAAGGTACTATGCCCCCCCTCGGTGTTTGGCCGACCTCGGCCAGGCTCTTTAACCGAATATAGCCAAGCGATTTTCAAGAATCCGGGCAATTTTCTAAAGTAAAGAGCTAGCCGCGACAGTCGAGGCGACGGTAGGGCCGGCCTCCGGGTCGAGGGTACTCAGGATGCTGACCTCCGGGTCCTTTCGAGTGCTCGCCGCCTAACATCGCTGGCCAAGCAGCTCGCACTCTCGTCATCCCTGAGTTGGCGGTGCGGGTTCATTCTGGTGGATCATGCAGGGTCCGCCCCTGTTGTTTGGCTATCCATGCTGGAGTAACCAGATTATTCCCCAAGTCCGGGCAAACTGGACGGGTTAAAGTGACAGTAGGACTGACCCCCGGGTCATGAACGTTCAGGATACCGACCTAAGGGTCTTCCTCGTCGGTTCAATGTCCGACCTTGCTGGCCAAACAAGTTGCTTACTTATTGATTCCATATCAATAGAGAACAGATCACTTCTACCCAACTAGGAGGGGCACGGATAGGCTCGGCCACGCCAGCCTAACCGCCCCCAGGGAGGTTAGAGAATCCAGATCCCCGAATAAATTGCTAAGTATTCGTAATGCAAAGTATAGAAAAGGAGGCGTATGAAATAACAATCAAACATCCACAAAGTATTCAAGTGGGAAACAAAGGAAATACAAAATACAAGGTCACGGCTGGACAGACCCATAGCCATCAACCTCGGGAACATCATCTAACACACCAACCAAGTCCTGGTCGGGGGCCACAGGAGTCATGTTCCCCGGAGCTGGCGGAAAGAACCAGGCCCATTCGTTCGAACTACAAAGCTCCTCCTCCTGACGAACGGCCTCTGGGGGAAGGAGGGCTATCGCCTCCACGAGTTTCTTCATGCGACCAGGAAGGCCCAGTGTGGATGGATGAAAGTCAGGGTCGAGATCCTTCAACCGGCCATACACCTTCTGCTGCATCAAACACTTGCCACTCTGAAAAGCATAGAGGACTTCGCGAGCGCGCCAATACTCTCCGTCGGGGGTCGTCAGCCACCTCTGCACTAGTTCAGAATGTTCCGCTTGCACCCTCGCAGATATGATCTTCTGGAACTGCTCGGAGGCCTGGAACTCAGAGAGCGCTTTCTTGGCTCCTTGTTTGGCCGCTTCTTCACATTCTTGTGCACGCGAGGAGTGCAGCTCGGAGAAGGCTTTCTGGCTGGCCCACAGGACAGCCCTAGCTTCGTCAGCCTCGCACTAAAGCCTGGCCTGAGAATGATTGGCCGCGTGGAGTGCCCTGATGGTCTTGACGAGCCCCTGCAAAATAGACAAACAAAAATGTGAGGGGGTTCAGGGATAAACACAATCCACGTCAAGACGGAATCTTCCTACCTCAATATGTGACCGGATGGAACCCTCCAAGAGGGGATGAAACTCTTGGGAAATCGTACGGGTGAGGTCGCTTGGTGGGAGGATTGATGAAGCATAATCCACGACCGGGAAGCCTTCATGCATAATCGAGGCACTCGAAGATGGGAAGGCGTAAATAATTGTATGCTCGGTGTCATGGCTGATCCGTTCGGCCATCCTTTCATCTGCACCCTCATGTACCTCCTCAGCGGAATGAAACGTGGGGGCGACCTTGGCCTTCTTCGAGACTTGTTCCCCTCGGCCCGGGGAGGAGGCTCCGCGCTCTTTCCCCGCAACAGTCGTAGGGACCACATCAGCAACGGCAGGGCATGGCTCCTCCTCCTCCTCATCGGACCCATCCAGTTTGACTAGCAGGTCGATGAGTCCGCCCTTGTGCTTCTCCTGCACTGGCGTAGTTGGCCGATGCCCGAAGGTAACTATCACCCTTCTTGGAGGGGGGGCTCCGTGCCCTTTCCCCTCTGCAGCTGTTGCTGCCACAGGAACGATGACTTGTTGAGGCTCCTCCTCTTCATCGGATTCTGCCTCAACAACGAGCTTCTCAGGCACAGCTGCGGAAGGAAAATGTGAGGATAAGCAGAATAAAATACAAAGTAGCAAACATAGACCAGGGAGACGACAATCACCTAAATATGAGCTGATGGAGTGGGGACCGCCTGCGGATAATATCTCGATGGAGGACTTGAGACCAAGGGAGAGAGCGACCCGGTCACACTTCCAAACCCGCTCACCCCACTGAAACGGAGGTGACGGGAGATCGGGGTCAGACACCCAGATCCATCTCTTCTTCCACCCCTTGCCTGAAGTGGGGTAACCCGACCGAAACAGTTTGCTCACTGACCTATGGGAGACTGAGGTGAAAAAGCTAGAAGCACGCCACTGGAAACAACTGAAAAACAAATCAATCGTGGGTGTGAGGCCCACACCCTCACATCGTGCCACGAAAGCTGCAACGAACATGTGAGCCGCCTAAGCCAATTGACCCGGTGCCACACCCAGGAAGTGAAGGAACCGAATCAGGAAGGGATGCAGTGGCACAACCATCCCTAACTCCAGAGAGTGGATATGGTCCCCGAAATATGGGGTTGGTGGATTGCTCAATATGTCAGTAACTCCCGGAGTTTCCAACAAACAATTATTACCAATCAAACCACATGCCATGATAAGGTCATCCTCCGTGACGCGAGAAGGGAGGCCCGGTATTCCGCTGCTATCAAGGTCCCACCAGGAATCCAGGTCTGCCAGAGTATCGGAATCATCATCTGAGTCTGGTACGTTCACAGGTTGGATGCATGCCCTATCTGGAACATTGAGAGGTCGTCCCTCAGAAGTAGCAACCCGCCTAGCTGGAGCCAACTCAGGGAGAGCATCAGCTTGCCGCCCAGTAGTAGCATCTGCATGCATACAGGGCCGCGGGCCGTGGCTGACCCGTATGGGTCTCGCAGCTGCCCCACGCTCTACTTCGATGCCAGCCGATAATCCCAAATCCACATGACCGTTATTTTCATAAGCAGAGCGCCCATCGCCTTGCATTTTTCACACTGGGAAGAGAAGACTAGACCTGCAAAAAAAAGCGTGAGATAAGTTCAATTTCCAAGAATTTTCACCAAGGGATGCGGGATGAAGATCCTGGGAGACAAACTTCGGAGGTCCAATTCCCCTGGAACCCGGTCACCCGCACGTTAGCACGAACAATAGGATGGCCTCCGGATTCTAGAAACCGCGCCAGCCAAGCATGGGGGACCAGACCTATCGGCCAGACCCGCCGGACTGCAGGGGCTGTGTCGCAGGCGACGAGTGACGCAGGACAGGCATTGGGCGCGGTAGGGGCCGGCCTGTGGAATCGGTGAACCACACACGGCGTCCAACCAAATTGACAGCTAAGCCGGCAAAAAAGGGGACGGTGCCGCCCAAATTGGACCCGGAGGACCACTTGGCCGACCTTCATAGCCAACGACGGCTGGCGGCGCCCGGCCTGAGAGCGCCTGGTCGCCCGCCCGCTCGCCTGGCCGCCAGCCTCCTGGGACGGTGCCGCCCAAATTGGACCTGAAGGACCACTTGGCCGCTCGACTTCCTAGCCAACGACGGTTGGCAGCGCCCGGCCTGAGGGCACCTGGTCGCCCGCCCGCCTGGCCACCAGCCTCCGGGGAGGCCGCTCATCCCTGAAGATTGCGCCGGCCACAACAGGAGCCCAGACCCGCCGACCAAATTCACTGGACGCCTGAACTGTTGGGGACGTCGGCGACCGGCGGGTGGCGCGAGACAGCTGCTTGGCGCAGCAGAGGCCGACCCAAGAGCCGCCACGAGGGAAACGACGGTCAACCCAGTCGGCCGGTTGACTGCGGCGCTGGGGCGACGCGAGGAAGACGGACGCAGACCAGGAGAGAGAAGAGAAAGAAAAGGAAGGAAAAAAGAAGGAAAGAAAAGAAAAGGAAAAAAAAGGAAAGAAAAAAGAAGGAAAGAAAAGAAAGGAAAGAAAAGAAAGGAAAGAAAATAAAAGGAAAGGAATTTTCGGGAGCTGACCTGGATTCTGAAGTCCGGAAGAAAACTGACGGCTGGAGTGCTAGGATGCTGAAAGAATTTATTTGGAGCCTTTTTTGGGAGCCTGATTTAATTTGGGAATTTCCATAAACTCCGGGATTCACATAATCCGCAATTATGGTTCCTTGATATGTGAATATTTTTAAATCGGCAGCTGACTTAAACTACTCCCTCTTAGCCGAGTCTACTACTCGACTAAGGGAGTGGGGGACTCGTGATGGGGTTATGGGACTAGGCCCAGAGCCTAATCGGCCCAGGCCCCGGACTTGGACCAGCAGGCCCAAGCCCAGTGATGCAGATCTCATTCCGGCCCAACCGATCAGGCCCATCAAAGAGTGAAAGCCCAGGGCGGCCTGTCGTCCAGCCCAACAGGGAGCCTGCCTACCAGCCGTGTCAGCAGCCTGCCGTCCAACCCAACAGGGAGCCTGCCTACCAGCCCAATCAGCAGCCTGCCGTCCAGCCCGGCCAGCGGCCTGCCTTCTAGCCTGGCCAGGCGCCTGCCTCCAGCCTAGCAGGGAGCCTGCCTACCAGCCCAGTCAGCAGTCTGCCGTCAAGCCCGGCCAGCGGCCTGCCTTCCAGCCTAGCCAGGCGCCTGCCTCCAGCCTAGCAGGGAGCCTGCCTACCAGCCCACTCAGCAGCCTGCCTTCCAGCCCAGCAGGAAGCCTGCCTACCGGCCCAACCGGAAGCCTGCCACCCGAGGAGCTCAAGCGTTCAGCCTGCTAGCCAGGCCGACCTACCAAAAAGCCAGGAAGAGTAACGGCCAACAATAAATGCGCGACTTAATTATGTGTTTAATTCCATATTAATGTTGTAATTAATTTAGTCATTATTATGTTCGGCAGTTACCATTTGTAATCGCCTATAAAAGGCAATTCAAATTTCAAATACAGATATGCTATTTCTGGCTAACTTTCCATATTCGTACTTTCCTAATTCTTGCTTGAGTGTCGTACGTAGCTTTCCTAAAAGCCTA